GTCGGGTTTGTAAAATTCGACTGGGTCCGGCGGGGGCGTACTTGGGGAGGCGTCGGGCGACCCCCCCTAGGTCCCCAGGGAGCTCCTGGCACTTATTTTCTGGGTCGGTCGGTCGGTCGGTCGGTCGTCGTCGCCGCCGCCGCCGCCGCCGCCGCCGCCGCCGCCGCCGTCGCCGCCGCCGCCGTCGTCGTCGTCGTCGCGCGCGCGGGGAAGTTTCGAACCTAATTCAGTCGCAGGGTAACCGCAGAGAGGTGATGAGTTGCCCCATGCCAGCTGTCACGGTATATGGACCCCGGAATGCAAAAATCGAGTCGGCGCGCCCCGCAGTCGCAGTGATCGACAGTCTCGCCGCAGAATGCCGCCAGCAGGATTTTTTGAGCTCCCGAACCCCGTCGTCGCTGCCCGGCGCAGCACGCGCGCTTTTCGTGCACCACCTGGCGCAAAACGGCGCGGTGCCGGCGCATCACATCATCGCAGCGTTATCCGTCGGTCGAAGCGATGCCGTTTTGGATGATTTCGATGAGGTTTTCGATTACTACTTCAATAAATTAACCCAAGCGCGTTTACTTGCAACACCCCTGGGTCGGCGCAATTAATTCACGGGCCGCGCTGAGCTTACGGCGCCCGCCGTCGGAAGCGGTTGCTGGTCCAAGTAAGCAAAATCTTACCGATGGCGACGCGCGGTGGAAAATCCCAGAGTGCTGGCGAGACGAAAACCGCGAATCGTCCAGAAAAATGTTCGCAATTAATTCAAAGACCCGGCCCATTCCCCATTCGAACAAGCGCGTCGGTTTCTGAGGGGTGGGAACAACGAAAGTCAAGTTGTATTATCCGACCCCGTCATGCGGATTTGGCTTTCGATACTCGCTCGTGGATAGGGAGCCAATAAACTAAACTCTCTTTTGGGCGCTACTTTCCTGGCTAATCGAAGATTACCTGTACTATCACCTGCGCATCTGTCTAACGCCGCGGACATCGCACATCTTAACGCCCGCGGTCGATTGACAAGTATGGTGTTGTGGACTATAGTTTTTGCTGTGAACGCACACTTTGCCCAAGCAGCGTATCGGAAGGGGACAGATATCGATCCCGATAAAAAAATTCGTGCGGAAGCAGTAAGCCATAAATGGCCGCCTAAAAGCCCCCCTCTATTCCTGTTCTTCGAGAAACATGGCCATTTCAAATACATGAATTCCATATCGCAAAATTCTGGATACAAGAACATTAGAGACGGCATGTATCATCAAACATACATCTACACGTGGGGGAACGCAAAATCTCGACCATTTTCTACCCTTGATGAAGGACTCACCATGAGACCGTACTCGAGTTATGGGAGAGCAGAAGGTGCCGATCCGTATGGCATTTTCTGCCCCCCAAGGAAGCTGCCAAACATGCGTGGCCATGTCGTTTTTATTTCGAGTGAAACTTCTGGCAATGTCTTTCCAAATGGTGCGTGCACCATGCCTGCTCTACATCTTAACTTACATCGCGCAAGGGCGAGTATGATCTTTGGCACCGGCGCCCAAGCAGACAACGTGGTTGGACTCTACAACATGCAGTCCGCCAGAGACATCTATTGGAGGACACGAAAGATGACATTCGGTGTCTTTGATCTTAACTGGCTAGTGTGTCGCTAACTCGGCTTAGCGAGAGCTAGAAACGCCTATGAACGCCTATGAACGCCTATAAACGCCTATAAACGCTTAGGACGGCTTAGATATATCTACTGAGATATATCTAGCAGCACTTAGGACACGACGCAAGCATGGGCGAGACATGTTCGTAGACGGCGGCAGCAGCGACGAAGACGGCGCGTCCGAGGGCAGCGAAGGCTCCGCTGCTGCGGCGGTCGACGATTGGTTCGATGGTTCGAGCGAAAGCGACGGCGATAGCAGCGCCAGTGAACGCGGGAGCGAGAGCGACAGGTCCGCGGGCGTGAACGACGACGACGAAGACAGCGCAAGCCAAAGTAGCTCATCTTCAGGGCAGCCCGCAGCCGCGCTGAAGGAAGAATCGATTGCCTGGGCAGTCGCGCTAGCCAGCGAACTTCCTGGGCAGCAGCACGGATCGGCGAAGCGCCGCTGCCTCGTTCCCCGGAACCTGTCTAAAGGGTTCTGGGACGTGATCGACGTGCTGGATGCAGGAGGCTCTGATGAGCTTAACAAACAACTTAAAGAGCTGTACGCGCGCGGCAAAAAGCTGCAAGGCCAAGCGTGGGACAGCAACGATGCCGACGATCGGATGGCACATGAGGTCTACGCACACGTAAAGAGG